CACACACACACACACACACATACAAACACACTCACAGAGAGAGAGAAAGAGAGAGAGAGAGAGAGAGAGAGAGAGAGAGAGAAACAGATAGACAGACAGACAGACAGACAGACATTTATCTATGTTTGGCATTTTTGGCCGTTTTGAGTTACTACGACCATGCGTTTAGAAACCAAATGTTCCATCTGCTCTGTCAAAATCGTTTAGCCTAAAACCTTTGTCTTCACATTTCGATGGTTTTCATGCATATAGTTGACTAATTAGCTACTTTGAAAGGGCATAAAAAGTATTTCAATATGATAACGACTTCTAACTTTTTCTAAACCACGGGTTTCTGACAACGTGCTAAAAAATTGTCATTGGTGAATCTCACATCAAAGCTAAAAGTGTGTACGTTTTAGAGCTAGGCGTAAGCCTTAGAGAAGGCCACTAGGCTTCTAACGTATAAGTCATTTTATTCCCTTAGAAACCCACGATGGGAGTAGTCACGACTTACATAAAGAAGATCGATACCTCTCCGAAAAACGAAGTCGGTCGGATTTACTGTGTAAGTGAAGCAAAGACTTGTCACGAGAAGATGAGTCTTGCGGTAACAACAATAGTATCTTCTCCATTATAAACATCTAAAAAGAAATTTTAATGGAACCACTGGCGCCGATGAAGACATGATTTCATTTAGTCTTTCGTTTTTCAAATAGAACATCCAGTTGTGTAGACACATCAAGTGGTGCGACCTTCCTTTAATTAATCATTGTAAAGTATAACGCCCTTTCCGGCACTCTACAGTTATCGAAAAGGGGCGAAGAGGGGGGGGTCCGAATTTAACGCAATTCTCCGATAGGACCAAGCCAGCAATCACTTCTTAAAATAGCCTTGTTAGTCCTTTGCTGCCCAACTCCTTGCTACAATAGGCCTGCTTCGTCCTAGGTCTCTGTTTTGATAATTTTTTGCACGAGTCGTAGACTACATGTACAAATACAATGTATATTTTCAATGAACGGTGTTTGAGTTCTTCTCTTGCTTCTTTTGCCTCGTTATTTCCCTGCACCACAATTACCATCATGTCTGTTTTTATGTTTCTGTTTACGTGACCAAAATACTTAGTCTCCTTGTGCTGATCCCAGAAAGTATACTGCACTTTCTCTCAAATGCTTTCAAGACATTTTCGTTGATTGCTAAATTTATGTGCCCTTTCGACCAGAAGCAGATTTCTGTAAAATCACATTTCTGATGGTTAGATTCAGGTTTCAACGTTGCGTTTTACTGCCCGGTACTCTCTTTTTCTGTACTTCTATGCATAATACTGGCCATATCAGATGTCTCAGAATTTTAACTTTGAGTTCTCAAGGTACGTCCCTGTCTTCCCATATCGCTACCTCAAATTTACGAAGTTCTATTTGACATTTTTGGCCATATTGAGTAACTGCGACCATGAGCCCAGAAACCAAATGTTCTATCTGCTCTATCAAAATCGTAAAAATTATTTTGAGTCGTTATCAAGTTATTCAAAGAATTGCATTCGAAAAAGTCTGACATGATGTGAAACTCCAAATCTTTGACTTCAAATTTCTCAAAACTAGGAACTGAACAGATAGAACTTTGTAATTCTGAGGTAGTCAATAACAATATTATGCTGTTAGCTGTATCATCTACCAAACTTGTGGGCAGCCGTAAAACTCCCTCAAACAACCCACGTATAACGTGCAATTTGAGATTCGAACCTGAACGGTCCTATTCCGTGGTTTAACATCTTGCAAAAGACACTAACCGTGCGCACTGGGCAACCTATGCC